AAGCACTTTGTGATTTTTATCTGTGAAATGTGCTATATAAATAAATTTTACTTTACTTACTTACTTACTCGTCGTACTCCTGGAGCTGACAGTAACAGGAATATAGTGTACAGATTCCCAAAAGGAGGGCCTGATACAATCTAGTGATGGCTAAAGGTTACTTTGTGTCTAATAGACGATCATGTTTTCTTTGCTATAGTCAGTAGCTTCACTGACGTAATCTGATCACAAAGCAGTGGAATATTTCTCTGTGCACTTAGAGCCCCATTGTGTAAACTAAAAAGCTTTGTCCTTAATTACTATTAACATAAATATTAAAACATAACAGAGCAAACAAAAGTTTCTAAAAGACTAAAACGGAGACAAGAGCCTCTAAAGAAAATGTTACTGTAAAACTAGTCCGCTGTGATCGGAGATATATCCATGTTATAATTAAAAAGATGAACTGGTTTATCGATAGTAACTGAAACACGCACACATTCAACAGAAAATTTAACAACTCGACAATTTGTAAGGATGAACCAGTCACCTAGCCACTGTCAAGTTATATCTCAGAAAACAGATATAGCATCTCCCATGAGGAGACTTTAGAAGCGATTGGAGATTAGAAGAGAAAAAGAATCGTTTGTATTGGCATCTCTGACTTATAAAATGTTTATTAAGCAGTTGTTTCCTTTTTTGGTTAAAGTAGATTGAAGGAAGTGTTCAGAAAGAGGCCAACAAGTATGACTAATGTTGTTATGACTCTGAATCTAAAACCCAAATAAGGAAAGGGATCGAACTGTTGTTCACTCTTGGATTAGGGTGAAGTTTTGTGAACTGTTGAAGAAGAATCAAATGATGTGTTTCAGTTTAATCTGAATATATTATACTTTTATTTGGAAATACAGGAGCACACTTCACAAAAATAAAAAAAGAATAATGGTTTCATGCATTTTAGTATATTAATATATATTTTTTATCATATTTTTATATGTCATAATAGTGGGTGAAAAATTCACACTGCATCTCACTTGTTACCTTCCTGCTGCTTTTTCCACATCTCACGAACACTTTGTTTAATGTCAAAGGAGATTACCTACTGCCAGGGAAAAATCGTACCGAGGGTTTGAACTGTAACTGTGATTGTTGGAGACGCTATCAGAGGCTCAGATAGGCCAGCAACTCATCAGCCACACGCCCTGAAAATGCTGAAACCATTTTGGCAGCAATAAAATAAATAAATAGTAGCTGCCTGTAAAAAGTTTCCTGTAAAAATTTCTTGAATGATTTTTACATTTACTGCACCATTATCCACCTGTAAACACAGGTGGATAATTATTCAAATTTTGTGTTTGATCTACTTTTTTTTTTTTTTAAATTAATTAAAAATATTACATAGATATTTCATTTAATGTTTTCATTAATATTTTAATTGGTTGTGATTCTGAGGTAATGTCTGTGAAGGTTCTCATCCAGGTCTCGTAGTCTAAGGAGCTTGGAAAGAAAAGC